CCTTGAAGGTGTATGCCTTGCCGAGCTGAGTTTATTCTCAAGTAGTTGCCTTGCGTCTTGGAAAGCGACCTTCTGCTGCCGCAGTGAAAGAACCCAAAGTATCCGTCACATGTAAATGACAGCTTGACGGTTTTTCGGTCGTCCACGGAGCTACAGCGTGCCGAGTCGTAAACAAAGCATTCTTGTTCGGAGTTGATACTTGGTCATAAACCGCGATCGTTCAATTGAGTTTCAACGCGCGTGGGCCTTACTTTGTACTTAGTCGCATCTGGTGTGATAGCGGCTTTGGAGTCGGTTCGGAAGTGGACGTTCAGAACTGTGACGCTTTTAATTTCTGATAGGTTGGTCCTGGTGCGTCCAATGGGGCCGTTCAGTCTCCATGTATGCATATGGACGGGATATAAGACGTACTGGTCATAGATAACGCACGCGTGACAAGCGCCGCACGACGCCACTTTTCAAGAAATGCGTCGCGTTGTGTCGTTGGGATTCGCAGGCCGTGCAGGAAAGCAGCCTTCGAAGATTTTTTTTCCATCCTACGAAAGTATGCAGTGGTCCTCGCCTGTGCAGGGGGGAATGGTATTGCAGGTGGATCCGGCTGGTGGCATGGCGGCGTCACGTGGAATTGAATGTCTGATTCGCTGGCGTTTCATCCAGCGTGTTTGACGCGTCGCCATGACAAGCGGAGATAGCGTCGTTCTATAACGGGCCTGCCCCGACGTCATTCTCCAGCTTTCATTATTCCAAGACGATTCAACTTGCTCGGCGGACACGCCCGGCAGTGTGTTGGTTGGCGAGGCTGATTGATATGTGGGGTTTTACGTCCCAAAACCACTATATGATTATGAGAGACGCCGTAGTGGAGGGCTCCGGAAATTTAGACCACCTGGGGTTCTTTAACGTGCGCCCAAATCTGAGCACACGGGCCTACAACATTTCCGCCTCCATCGGAAGGTTGGCGAGGCTGCTTGCGGTGTTGCGTGCGTGGAAGTGTGCAGCTCCTCGGGCCACGGTCGGTGGCTTCTGCGGGAGCTTGGTCAAAATGCTGCGCGTGGTCGTGGGACCGCAATCGACTTTTGGATGTACCGGCTTCATGCGCCTAAACTCCCGCGAACTCAGTAGGGTTGAGAGCTGGGCTAGTTGGTGAGACATCATTTAACCATATGGTGTAGTAGCGCAATTTTCACGGGGACGAAGAGGACAAGAACAGCGAGTGTCGTGTGTTCTTGTCCTCTTCGTCCCCGTGAAAATTGCGCTACTACACCATATGGTTAAATGATCCCGCGAACTGTTAGAAAGCCACCAAGTACTGCAGCTTAATAAAGGGTTCCGAATCTGTGCGTATGTTCAAATGGCGTACGGTATGGGGGGGGGGGGGGGTGCTTAGATGAAAAGAAAAAAAAGGCACCTAATCTCTGTCAGCCATAAGGCGACATGGCGCAGTGCCTTTATTACTGTATGGTAGGGAAGTGCATTAGATATATCTGTACAGTGACAGGCGGTGTTTAGCACTTCGTTCTGGTCTCGCGAATGTTGGGTGAGTCTGATATCCAGCATCGATGCACTGGTTCGGAAGTGACGTGTTGAATTTTGGTGTGAACGCGCTGGACCTACGATCTTAAAGCGGATGAAACTTTGTGGAGCTCGAGATGTTCCTTCTCGCACTGCAGCGCCCGGCGAGTACAATGGAGGAGAAAGGAATTGGTCGCGTGCGTGCCTCCCCCGCCGCATCTATGCTGGCTCCACGTGCGCTGATGGAAAGTCGACGCGGAACCGGTTTGTGATCGGCGTGGGTGTGTTCGGGGGGGAGCTGTTGCCCCTTTTCGGACCCGGTTCGCGTTGTGTTCCCCGTTTTGTTTCTGCCTTGAAGGCAGAGTGCAGGAGCGGCTGCTTCTGACGCTAACCTCCTTTAGGAGTGTGGCAGCTTGGGCTAGTTGGTATGGCATGACGATAGTTAGAGCGCGAGAACAAAACGACGACACTCCCACTGGGTCTGGTAGGAAGACACGTGCGCCTCGGTGTTTAGGTGATCGTTACATCGGCACGCTATTTCTTTACGCGGTGCGCGTCTTCGCGTGCAAAAGTGTCGTGTTGGATACGTGATGATACTGGTATATAAGCCTAGGCCCGAACTATTTGATGTCTTGTAATGTCTCGCCACTCAGAATGATGTGTATATCGTTTTTAGTTTCGCCATTAGGACTTCGCGACGTCCGGATCTTAAATACCTTCTTCAGAAAACGCGCTAACCGTAAGTTAGCGCGTTTCTGAAGAAGGTATTTAAGAAGGTATTGCATTCCTTCTAGGGCTTTTCTCACTTTCCTCACAGAGGAAGTGAGGAAAGCCCTAGAAGGAATGCAAAGAGGCAAATCCACTGGTGAGGACAAAGTAACAATGGACCTCCTGAAAGATGGCGGAGAAATTGTGTTAGAAAAACTGGACACCTTATATACGAAGTGTCTCTTGACGGGAAGGGTACCAGAATCTTGGAAGAACGCCAACATCATCTTAATCCATAAGATAAGAGACGTCAAGGACATGAAAAATTACAGCTCCATCAGCCTACAGTCTGTTCTGTACAAACTATTTAGAAAACTAATAGCTAATAGATTTAAGGCAACATTAGAGTTCAATCAACCAAAGGACCAAGCATGATTTCGCACAGGATACTCCACAATACACCATATTCATATTATCAATGAGGTAATAGAGAAATGCGTGGAATGCCACCAAACCCTATACATAGGCTTCATAGATTACGAGAATTTGCTTGACTCAGTCTAGACATCAGCAGTAATGCAGGCACAATGGAATCCGGGCATCGAAGAACCCTACATAAACATACCGGAAGAAATCTGCAGTGGATCCACAGCCACCATAGTTCTCCATAAAGAAAGCGACAGAATCCCAATAAAAAAGGGTGTAAGGCAGGGAGACACGATCTCTCTAACACTATTTACAGGGTGTTCACAGGAGCTTTTCTTAGGGATGAGAGTTATAGGAGAGTATCTTAGTAACCTACGATCTGCTGGTGACATCGCCTTGATGAGTAACTCAGGGGAAGAATTACAGCTCATGATTACAGAACTGAACACGGAGGGCAGAAGAGTATGTCTGAAAATAATATGCGCAAAACTAAAGTAATGTACAACAGTCTCTGCAGACTACAGCACTTTGCGATAGGTGGAGAGACGCTAGAAGTTGTAAAAGACTATGTTGGCTTAGGGCAGGTATTAACCGTGGAGCCGAACCATGAGAGTGAAATAACGAGAAGAATAAGAATGGGGTGGATCATATTATGCAAGCATTCTAAAATCATGAATGATAATCTGCCACTAACCCTCAAGAGGAAGGCACATAACTGCTGCATCTTTCCGCTCTTTACCCATGAAGCGGAAACCTGGAGGCTTTCAAAGAGGGTTCAGCTTAAATTGAAGTCGACGCACGGAGCGATGGAGAGGAAAATTATAGGTGTAACCTTAAGAGACAAGAAGAGAGCAGAGTAGGTGAGAGAACAAACCGGGGTTAAGGATATCACATAGTTGAAATCAAGAAGAAGAAATGGACATGAGCCGGGCATGTAGCACGTAGGGAGGATAACCGCTGGTCATTGAGGGTGACTGACTAGATTCCCAGAGAAGGCAAGTGGGTGAGGGGGAGACGGAAAGTTAGGTTGGCAGATGAGATTAGGAAGTTTGCGGGTATAACCTGGCAATGGAAAGCACAAGACCGGATTGATTGGCGGATCACGGGAGCGGCCTTTGCCCTGCAGTGGGCGTAGTCAGGCTCATGATGATAATGATGAATGTCTCGCCTCGTATAGTGCTGTTAGCAAGTTGCACCAGTCGCTCAATCGAATTATGTCAAATGGGAGCATCCGGACGCCGTGATGGCCAGAAATTGACGGAGGCTGGGTAAGTGGTGTCGATCAGGGGGCGCGATAACTATATCGTCGAATCTCTCGCAAGCGCCATCACGCAAGAAACGTCTCTCCACCGCGCAGGGGCAGCCGGGTGTCCTCGCGAAATGCCAAGTGACCTGGGCACTTTGGTGAAAGTGCATAAAGGCACTTGTCGATGCTCTTGCATATTGTATATGTCGGGGCCGTCCGAGGGACGTGTTTTGCCAGCGGCAGGCGCCGCTCGTGCACTGTGCAGCGGACGTGCCTCCTGTTTCACCACGACGAGTGCTTGCAAAAGAGCGGCGCGTGAAGCCCGGCCCGCCTTCCTGGAGCGCCGGACCCGCATGTCTCGCGGATCGTGCTCGTCGGCCCCGCTGAACTTGTGGGTGGATACTTGCGACATCCGCGCCCGCCGTATAGTTGAGCGGCTGTGACGTATACTACTTTTTCCTTGCCATGTGGCTGCGGGTTGAATTCGAGGCAGCGGCTTTCGCATTTTGATAGAGGCAGGACCTCTCGTGTAGTCCTTCGGGGACCCGCTATATATATATATATATATATATATATATATATATATATATATATATATATATATATATATATATATATATATATATATATATATATATATATATATATATACGGAAGCGAAAAAGCACGACTAACGAGGAAACACTTTTATTAATCACATACGTTTCGGCTGGTGGGCCAGCTTTCGTCAGTGTGACATGTAATGCAGCTTTCGTAGCCATTATATACATTTCTAAAAATGTTTTGGGACATGCGCAATAGCAATCGGAAGTGATTCGACATGATTATACAAAAAGGCTAAATATGTATAATCATGTCGAATCACTTCCGATTGCTATTGCGCATGTCCCAAAACATTTTTAGAAATGTATATAATGGCTACGAAAGCTGCATTACATGTCACACTGACGAAAGCTGGCCCACCAGCCGAAACGTATGTGATTAATAAAAGTGTTTCCTCGTTAGTCGTGCTTTTTCGCTTCCGTTTTTACTACGGAGCCAGTGCGCTTCCTTCAATCATTCGTCTCAAAGGAGGCCGACTAAAATGATCCCGTGTCTTTGTGCGCAGACGCTGGAGGAGAAGGACCGCAAGAGCCAGATGGTGAAAGAGCAGCTGATGCGGGAGCAGAGGTTTCTCAAGAGGAGGCTGCACCACCTGGACGGAGTCTCCTCCCCGCCCAGCCACAAGAGACGGAGCGTGAGCGAGTGCAGCTCCGGCTCGTCGTCGTCGCGCTCGTCCACTTCGGAAACCGGTCAGTTCCACACTGCACCTATATAAGCGGACGTGCATCGCGATCCCGACACTTCGCCGCGTAACATCGGTGCAGTTCTGTGTTGTTTGCCAGAAAGGGGCTCAAGTTTGTCTCATTGCTCGTTAACCTTCACAAACTTTCGTCTAGCTGTTTGAGAAAAAGCAAGCCCCATTCCTGGAATGTGCCTCGTGAAACCATTAACCCCTCCTAGCGAGATCAATTCCCTTTCGTTTCCTTGAGCTGTGAGAAGTCATAGTACCGCGTCAGTTATACTGACGTGGTACTGTGAACTGTTCAGTACATGGACGTTTTATTTTTTCGAATGTCCGCCTTCGTTCGCTCGCTTTCCATCTGCATGTTCCGTCGGGCGTGATTAGTATGCCACAGCAACGGTTCGACTTCGCGAAGCCGCAGATGTCTCAGTATAGCGATTCTCCATATATTCGCGTCCGCGTAGGGTTTTTTTTTTTTTTGGCTGTTGCCCGAAATCGATAAAGGCCCCGCCGTGGTCTCCTCTGGAGTAGGCCTCAAACATTGGTGGAACTGTTGAATCGCGCCAACGCTCAGCACGTGGTTTTTTGCGACCTACACAGTGACCCGATTAATTGGAAGCGGAATTATCTATAACAGAGCAGACATTCGTATTTGTTGCGCTACTTTTGTTCCGCTAACTTTTGCGGTCGACTGTATACGTGCTGTAATGGTGGGCCTTAGAAGGTGCGTTGGTGCACCTTTTGACACTGTCGCGATTATAGATTTTATTGTCGTTGGGCACGAAGATCGCATGCTAAAAATGCTTGTACTAGTACTGTACAGCACCCTGTGTTTGGGAGTGTTAGTTTCTTTTTTATGTATCAGAAAGCCTGCATCGCTGCATACATTTTTTTTTTTGGACCCAGGACTAGCCATTGGCTACGGGTCCAAGCAGTCTGATGATTCTTTGTATTGTATGATTCAACAAATAATGAAAAAAAATAGAGCGCCCAACATTCAACTTTAAAAAAAAATGGCTGAGGAAAGCAAAAAAAAAAGAAAAAGACACTAGCCTGATAAACCTATATAGGAGGAAACGGTCATGTCGAAGAGCACACGATATATGTACTGCGCACATCGCGGTGCGCCGATTCGACAGCATGCACCACTACGTGCGGTCAAAAGCAGTTTTTTTTCTGCCTATAGTGGACATTGTTAGCATAATACCAGTTTTCTGTAATTGGTATGTGGAGACTTGTGGTGTAATTCTGCTGATACACGCTTGTGTGTTGTCTTCGCCTACATTCGTTTCGACCTCCTATATGTACACTCCATAGTTCACTGTTGCTATCGTTTTGGGTGCACTCGCTGCTAGTTCTGGTGTTGACCGAGCACTATTTATTTCGTCCGTTTGTCGGTTCTTGGGTCTGTGCACAGTGAAGGACGGCCATGCATATTCCAATAACGATATTAATAATTAATATCTGGTCACTGCGACCCGAAACTGCGATATGATTACGAAAGACGCCGTAGCGGAGGGCTCCGGAAATTTCGTCGCTTCTTGTTTACCATTCATTGGCGTCGCAAATTACGCGGGTTCGTAGAATTTTGCTTCCGACAAAATGCCCCGGAGGTCTTGGGTTTCGCTCGAATTTCGCTGTAGACGAAACCCGTGCACTGTGTCATGCCAGTGGGATGTTCAACATCAGACGGTCGAAATTTTCGGTCCTCCCTCATGGCGTCTCTCGTAATGATATCGCGGTTTCGTGACGAAAAAGTTCAGATGGCATTATTATCTATCGAAATTCGACCGCTACGATTTGGATTCGTGGTCGCTTGGTATTGTAAGGAGCGCAGCCATTGAGCTGATTTCGCGATAAGGAAACCGGCGTGCGCGGGCGTAGTTAATTAATGCGGATCATACTGCCGCCACACCCTATTGAAACGATCCGTATGCGATGTCCAATAATTCCGTATGTTTCCGTGTGAATACATGTTTCCTATATATTTTCCATATATTTCCGTAAGATTCTTACGGAAACATACGGATTTATTGGACATCGCATGCGGATCGTTTCAATAGGGACGTCTGTCATCGCTCGTGTGTTGGCCGGTGTTTCGACATCCCGAATGTTGAGAATAAACAAGGTTTCGAAGTTTCAATTCCCCGTCAATCTACAAATAAACGGCTGAAGCGATCATAAAACGTGCTAATTCGGCGTTCTGTACGCCGGACACGCTCTTGGTTTGCGCCCTTTGAACTATAAGGTCGGTCCAACTCTCGGCATCAACTCCGCCACACTGTTGTGGTTGAAGTATGGGACAGTTGGGCAGTAATGTACTTATCTTGTTTGCCCACTGCATACCACGGATAAGCGAGCCCTTTGTCCGCCATTGCACACACCGACCGTGCAGAGTAGCGATATCGGCATCTGCTGTCGACAGGGGTGAACTCAGGGTTTAACCCTTGACGCCTGTCGGGCTCGCGCTTTCGTGTTTTTTCCACACAACAAACCACTTTGTGAAGATACGTGCGTCGTGTTAAGCTGCTCGTGTCAGTCTATGCTGTGGACAACTCGTGAAACGAAGCTTTTCGGAGCTTACACACACGCTCACCTGCGCTTTCTAGCCCTTCAAGGAATAAAGGGTTATTTGGCCAACATATCACCCGGAGGTTTATAATACGCGTTCTTGCACACCGCTGCTGCCAGAAGTGATAGCGCTGGAACCTGTCTATTGTCAGGGGTTACGCCAGAAATAAACCTCGGTTCATACGGCAGTGAGCTTTTTGAGCATGCACACGACGCTCAGACGCTTTGCCCTGAGGCTGGAATGGCTGAAAGCATCGCCAGGATATCCTTTCACAGGGACCTCGTGTACGCTGCGGCCGTAGACCTTGTACACGAATGCGATTTTTTGTGTGAATGGTTTTCAGAGTATATGCGGCCGACTATAGAACAGGGATCCTTTAGGAGCTCCAGACGCTGCCGGGTGCTCGCGTCACACGAATGTAGCTGTCCCCTCACATTTTTTTTTTTTTTTCAAGTGCACAGGTGTTTAGCACGTAGGTGTTTGCCAGTGTGCTTGGAAGTAGGGCAGCAGTTAAACGGGGCCTGAAGGGTATACCGCACGAAGTCCACGACGCACGCGGCCGAACAGGTGTTCGCTCGCTTGCGCCGAGCGTGGTTCGGCTTGTTTGTGGTGACATTTCATCGCGCCACACGTCTATTGTCTCGCTTGTATCCAGCGAGTGAAACGAATCCGCGAGAATTCAGAAGTGCGTGATCCGACTGTTTTCCCACACCGGCTGACTCTGATCGCGGTTATTCACGCCCCGACGGGACAGCGATTGGCCGTGCAGTTTTGCTCCGTCCGTCCGTTTGTGGGTGATGGGGCCGCGTATCGCGTTGTCCTTACATCTTAACAAACGAGTATGACGTTCTAAATAAGAAAGAAAAAAAACACGCTGTATTCAGTATCTAACGATTGAGGTGAGTATCTAACGCTGAGTATCTAACGCTGAGCAATTGCTCTCGCAGTCTCAGCAGTTATGCGCTCTGTATAGCATAGCTATAGCTATAGTATAGGTATAGCCATAACTAGATAGCTATAGCCATAGTATATAGTATCGTCGTGTATACAATCACGTGATGCGCTGTCTTTCTCGTCTATCATGTGGCTACGAAGTACTGGCGAAATGGCGTCTGTGTAGGCGGTCGGAACGTTTTTGACTCTCGTGGTGCCTACTCAGCTTCAATTGAAACGGTGGTCAAATTCGCAGTGGGCGCAAACGTGATGCAAAGACTACGGCGCGAAAACGTTTGCATACTTCTTACACGTCGACTCCTCATCGTACCTCGGGGCGGGGCACCAGTTATGTAACTGTTGCCGGGTATGGCGTGCGTTGCCGGTGGGCTGCTGCTGCAACCCAGCCTCGAATCTTTCCCGCAGCGGCGCTATTAAAAGTTCCCGGGCGTTGTGCCATCCGCGAGAGCGTCACGCTTGGCCGACTGACCTTGGTGCGCCGTTCGCGGTTTTGTACGTGCTCTCTCCACTGTGTCCGATCTGAAGAACGATATTCGGAAGCACTGCTCGGAGGGTTTCGGTGGCGCGAAATTATACTTCCAGGTTTTCGCGCGAGAGCATCGGAACTGCGCAAACTGTGGCACCTGGTCTAAAAAAAAATGCGTTTAGGTTACGGATTTTGTCGCTTAATCCTGTATGATGATTGCGAAGCCGCTGTGCACGACGATTCGAGATCGCGCTCGCGGGTTTTTCGACACATGCGCTTTTCTGGCGCCTCTGATTTGCTCGCATTGGTATAGAAAAAGGTGCTCCCCGAAAGTCGTCTGATCCTATTGTTCTCGATAAGTCACCGCAGTAGGAATGCATTTCAATCAAAAACCTTCGCGTAATAGGTTTTACGCATGTTTTGTATTTAGACGTTGTCGACCCTACGGCGCAGGAATGGGAGTTGTGCACTTTTCCGAGAGCCGGTCGTAACACGATGCCCTGCCGCTCGGGTGCGTCAGTGCTGCGGTGACAAAGCCTCTAGTTGCGCGCGGGGGCAATGCACCGCCGTCGGCTCGAGGAAAAGAAAAAAAAAAAAAAAAAAAAACTCCCTGTGCCGCGTGGCGGTGGCTGAGTCACGTCGGGGAGCCGCTGCCCCCACCACTGAATGCACGACGGTCCTGCTCTTCGGCTTGGAGGGACGATCATGTAGGGCAGAAGAATTATTCTGTCCAAACTGGCACCAAGTTCTTCCAATCGTGGCCACGAGTGTTCCAAAAACAAAACAAAAGATTTTGCGATTTTGGCATCGTCACTCTCCTCAAGGGCATCTGCTTTTCTCACGCGTCTACTTTGTTCGCTCCCTGCGACGGTGGAAGTCCATGAATTACAGAAACTGGGCGTCTAGCATCAATGCGTTTTATGTGGTCGCTATCGTAGGCGCTAGCCGCGTGGGGCTATTCCAGCTGAGACGGAAGGGGATCGGAAAAACAGCGATCAACGTTTCTTCAGAGATCTTTGCGACTTCATTCCCTGTTGTGCGCCATAGTGTGTATAAACTAAAAAGTTTTCCGGAGTAACTGCATAGTATAACCCGAAAAGGGTACTTTGCTCCCCCTACGGATAAGCCTTGTGCAAAATTTGGAAGGAAAACGCTCGTTTTCTGGAGTAACTGCAGCATTGTTTGCGCCGTGTGGAAGCGACTCATCGGTGCCTACATAAACCCGTTTCCTCCCAGACAGTGTCGTGGCGTGGTGTTGTGGTTAGTGTACGTGCAGGCTGACTCAGTGGCCGCGAGTTCAAATTCCGTGTGTTTGCTGTAAATTTTTCTGAAACTTATTTCTGAATGTGATGCCTGTATATCGATTGTACATCTAATCACGTGCTCCCACTACCTTCAAGAGGCTGGTGAAGTCAACCAACTGATTTTTCTTTTGCGCCTGTTGCTCCCTTGAAATGTAACCGTGAGGGGGAAGAGTAACATGTCGTCCAGTTACCCCTAAAAGGGAGGAACGGCAGTGACGGGTTACTCACTCCCCTAAACGGGCAGCCTTGGTATCCCTTTTACTCTTTTACTTCTTGGAGTAGGCCTTGTGAACACATTACCCCGAAGGCGGAAACTGTTCAACAATTCCTTTTGAGGCAATAGCTTGGAGGATTACTAAGGAACTCGAGAAAAAGTTCAGAACTATGCGGTTTGCGATGGAACATGAAGTGGTGGGCGTAGTAACATGAAAGAATTGAAGTACTGCAGAACGGACTGGAGAACACACCAGGGTAGCTGGTATTCTAGTTCGGATTAGGAGAAAAAAGTGGACACAGACAGGCCATATAATGCGAAGGACAGGTGACCTGTTGCCATAGAGCGACTGAATGGGTAACGCATCTGGATGGTAGAGGATTAGTTGGGTTGAAGAAACTACGAAATTTGCACATTTGCAGGCATACAATTGAATGAGCTCGCACAGGACTGCCCAAATTGGAGATCGTTCGGAGGGTCCTATACGTATTGGAGTGGGCGTTATGCGGGCTGAGGGTGGTGATGAATAGCCCCGAAAATTGGCTGCAGGGAACACGATATGTGTGCTGTGTAGAAGTGGGGCGTCGCAGATGGAACAGTGCTTTCCAACGCGCGCCCATTTATCGAGGCCATCCCGGATGTTTTGCGGCGGGGGGCTTCCGCGCCGTGCCGGCGACCGCGTCATATGCAAAGACGTATCAACGCAGCCAGTCTAGCTGGCCTTGGGCATGGTAGCTTGGCTTTGTTAAAATACGTGGTGGGCTACTTGACGTGTTCCATCCAGTAGACACTACCAGGACGTAAAGAAAACAAACGCAGGTCTTTTTCCTTCGTCCTCATGAAGTCGCGCTTACTCTTTCTGCCAAGGGCCAGCTTGCTGCGTTTGGGGCTCTGGGCTGATGAGAGCAATGCTACTAAAACATGGCAAGGGTGCAGCTTAGAGCACAGCCACGCGAGTGACGAGAGCGTTGACCTTGCCCTGATGCGAGGAGTGCGTGCTGTTGATGAGCTCGCTTCAATCAAGCGGTGAGCGATTCCGAGCTGCAACAACACACACCGTACACACACACACGCGGTGGGCGCGCCCCTGGCCGGCTTGTTTACGAGCCGCCAAGAGCAGCGACCGGGCGGCGAGAGGCTCTGCGGTAGGGGGTCGTTCGCCCGCCATCCGGGCCCACTCGGTGGTACCGGCACTCTGCGGCCTCCGATTCCGGGATCTCGCGATTTCGTGATAACCGAGCGAAAGCGCTTGTTGGAGGAAGTCCACGAACATGTGCTGCTCGCCGTTTCCCTCGCGTCGCTTGGCGTCTGACTGAGTGCGATGACGCGCCGCGGGCTGCTGTTTGTAGCGATGCATTATGCACCATTCTACGCTAGTCCGTTGCTCACAGCCGGCTGATCTCGTTGATAACGCTGTGTCCACTGGCCAATCTCGGAAAGGCATTACCATCGGCAAATGCATCGCTGCACTGCCTTATATAAGCTTCGAAATGCAGCAAAAAGCGCATTAATGAGTTCGTTTGGGAACAATGCCATCTTGGTGGCAGGATGTGTTGGTGGCGAGGGAAAAGGGCGTTGCTTTACATTTACTTGAATTAAGGGGCCCGACAATCGCACCAATTGCTGATGAGGGGAGGTTATTTTGAATTATTACGTGCCCTTTAGTACTAGTAATTGCTCGGTAAATTATGCTGTTAGCAAAAACACGCACTTGTCATGATAAATTATTTGGTAAGTAAGAAAGAGTATAGCTAGCTGACCGAAAACACTGTCGTGCGAAACCCCTCAAGAAACGTATGAAAGTGGAGAGGGAAAATCATTAACGATGATGAACAGCTGCCAATTAGTATAAGAAAGTTTTATATCTATGACAGAGTTTAAAAAAAATCTAAACCCAAGGATGATAGTTTAGAGATTAGCCGACAGAGAGCAACGCGATCGAAGGCATTCGGAAAATCTAGAAAAAAGACAGTCAATTTGCTCGTCTGATCTTAGATCAAAGTTGTGATGTAGATCAGTTGTGAGCTAGGAAAGCTGTTTTTCGCACGATAGGGTCTTTCTAAATCGATGTTCGTTTGAAAATAATTGAGTTATTAAGTGATCGTAAATATGGGAGGCCATGGTATATGCTCGAGCGTCTTACAGCAGATAGAAATGGGCCTGGAATCCGGAGGCAGGTTTTTTTGCCCAGTCCCAAAGAATGTCGCATGATGTCGTATCCGCAGGCTGGGTAAGGCTACGAGAAGTCATTCGCGTCGTCTTATAACTTCTAGCACTTGTGCTTTTGCGCTTCATTAACGCCGCAGTAGTGTGAACCTAATCTCCCTTTATTTTCACGACTTCTATGATCCTGCCCGTTTCGTTGGTACAGGAAAACGTTACCATTTCAATGATGGTGTTCTCTGTTCAATCACATTCCCATTTGCTCTTGCATTATTACTTCATCACATCCCTGTTTTACAGTGTCCTCTTCAAATGTATCGAGTAGTGAATACCGATGCACTGATGACAGTTTAAGTTTAAATGTGATGCAAATGGAACCCAATGAATTGAAGTGTTTTTTTACACCCCTTACCTTAATGGTGGTTGCCTCAGCGATGTTGTACGTATGTACCACACAGCCAACGCATGGGCACAATGTTCGAATCGTGTTCGTACGTCGTCTTTGGTGACTGACTGTCGTGGTGCCCTTTGTTCTTGTTTGCCCCGCTGCAGATGAAGTGGACATCATGGGCTACAACAGCAACCAAAGCGACACGGACGACCACAGCAGTATCCAGAGCATGACCAGCGACGGCGGCATGGCCATTTCGACCAAGAGGCTCTGTCTAGTGGAGGAGCACACCGTCTAGGCCTTCATCCACACCGAAGACTCCGGCCCGTTCCCCTTGGCACAAACCGACCCTTGGCCTCTTTCGCACCCGAGCACCATGACCAGCCGCCTGGTGCGCACCAGAAAGGGAACCAGCGCCACCCCCTCCTCCCGCCCTCGTCCGAAACCACCACCACGCTAGCGAACAGTAATAACGCCAGTGCAGCGGTCTGTCCGACGAGCCGCCGCTGCGAAGCAAGCAATATACCGTTTCTACCGTTGTCAAGCCTCCTCAGTAGGCATCGCGCTTCTTTCCAGGACGCCTGTTGTGCAAGAGAGTCGGTCGGGGTCTGTCCTCTTTCCGCGCGCGTGCTGTCTCCGAATTGCACATCCTTCCCCTTCTGTTTCCTCCTCCTTGGCGATGCAATATGTCAGCTTAGCACCACTGGCACATCCGAATTACAACTCCATTGTTGGCCGCATTTTCGGAAGGAAGGAAAAATCCATGGTTTCGGTAGCTGTGCCGACATCGAGGGGCGGCAGCAGTTTACTTTCTCTCTCTGTAGTAAATAAGAACTATTTATTTGCAATATTTCGTCTCGAAAAGGCACGCGAATGCATGTGCGTGTGTTTGTGTATACTCAATCGTGTGCATGTTTTTGTGTACGTCCGCGAATCGTGTATTTGTGCGAGGCAGTCATGCTTTCTTGTTCAGTAGAAACAAACAACAAAAAAATGTTTATATGCGGACTTTATCATGTGAGCACCCCCCGTGTTTCGCGCACTCTTTAATCTTACTTTTCTTTGCATGTTTTTTGGAGGCTAGGCGAGTCATGTCTGATGTCGCCTTCGTTCGTGTGACTGAGTGTGTGTGTCCAAAGAGCAACAGGGTGCGAGTCGTTTAAATGGTTGTGTGGACGAGTCGATCTGGCTTCTGCACGTGGGGTCTGCAGTGGTTTTTTATTCCTTTTTCCTGCACCTTCCGTCAGAGGCATCTAGCGACGATTTTATTGTACATTTTTCCTCGTTTTTATTCACGGCCTGGGGTTAGCACATCTCGCTTTTTTTTTTTTGCCCATCACCATATTCATTGTACATTTTTATGTTCTACGCGCAAACACTAGAGGGTGGCGCTGGCTGACACCCCGAGAAAGCGCTGGTTGGGCGCGAAATAATGCAGGCGCTGTCAACACGTTCCAGCAAACGTCGATGCTCGTAGCTTAGGGGAAGAAGATAATCGCTATCGAGCCCACCTTACGTCTGCACTCTCCACTGTAGCGGCCGTTGCAGCCTGAAGTTGCGCTTACGTCTTGCTACGGGCACAATAGGCTGATTTGCCGAGCGCTTCAAGTAAGCAAGCAAAGTACTGACGCTCCTCGGGCGATGTGCAGGCCGGGGGGGGGGGGGGGGGGGTAACGGTCGGCTTGAGCGTCCATTTCCGTGATTTCATTCGTATGCTGGCGACTCAGCAGTGGTCCTGGCAACGAGTATAGTCCGCTGCGCCTTTTCGGGTGTCGTCCAGCGCCACCGCTCGAGAAGACTTGTGTACCTTGCCGGTGAAAGAGCGTCGTTTCCCGCGTCGAGAATGACGGCACGTTCGGTCATTCGAATGCATTTCCGGAGGCAGGTCTTGCATCCATCGCATTGCGGGATCTTTAGGGAACAACTGCATTCTCGCGGGCACGTCTCCCGCTGGCCGCCCCTGCCATCCCCGAGAATCAGTATTGCAGCGCCCAAACTGCGCGTCTGCCACCCTTGTACCTGGGACGCCTGGCGAGCGTCGCCTGAAGCTGCGTGCTCCGGCATGCATCTTCCCGTTCTGTTGTGCGGTTTTGTTGCCCAATCGGGATTTTCGCTGCGCGATTTTTTTTTCTTTCTGCCCATTGCTGCGCTTCGAAGTGAAATAAGTCTCCTCGCATTTGTCTGGAAGGGATCTTTCTCTACCGGCGGTGTGAGTCGTTTTGACAGGAGTGCCCTCGGAGGCAATGCTCTTCTAATTTATTTTTTTCGCAGCCACTCAGCCGCGCACGACAGTCTTCTGAGAACAAAGCGTAGTGCGTGTTTTTTTGTTTTGTTTTTGTTTATCCGGTGTTCGTTCTTGTTTCTTATCGTGCTTTGCCGGCGCCCTGCCGTTCAGCGAGTCGAAGCAGTCGTCTTGAAGTGTTGCCCTCCGGTAGGATCCTTTGCTCTCAGGCAAAACAGTCTCGTAGTTCTTCTGCGAGGTTTCACTATTTAATTCTTCTTACGCAGAAAGGCGCGTCCCAGTGAACGCTTTTTTTTGCGCGATGCTCGAGCAATTCGGCATCGCACTTCGGAAAACTCTTCCCGCCATTGAGAATCCCGATGTCGTCGACAGTTTTGTCGATGCAGAAGTGCGTGCGAAGGTAACCTATGGGCATTATTCGCACCAAATCGCATACGCCGCCTCCGAAACGCCGAGCAGGCATTGTCAAGTGTTGCGCATCTGTCATTTCGTGCGACCCTGTGGTTTTGTTTGTTCGTTTCTTTTTTTTTCTTGTGTTTGTCCCGGTTGTAGACCCACAAGTTTCCCGTCCAAAGGTGAAAAAGAAAAGGTTAAAAAAAGAGGAAAAGAGAAAGGGAACAAAAAAAAGTTTTTTTTTTTTCGAGTGAAAGAGCAAGGACAAGCTTCTTATTCCAGTCGACCATGAGTCGGCAGGTTCTTGGACAGCCGGTTGGGATGAACGAAAGAGAGAATCTCGGCCTCCCGGCCTTCAGTACAAAGTCTGCCTGCTCTCGCGTGGAGGTTACCCCCCCCCCCCCCCTCCCTCTTCTTTGCCCATCTTCTCCACACGCCCGCGCAGCTACTAGAGCAGCTGTGCTCTGCAGCAGCCCTTTCCGCGAGTGATTGACAGGCGGGTCTCCTCGCCGTCGGGATCGGAGCGAGTGTCGTGTGCGCGCTCCGTTGAGCGACGACGCCGTGGGCCCCCCCTTCCGCATTTCTTCCGATACCGTTCAGATACTCCCGAGGAAGTGCTCTGTTACTATGGCCGTGTGTGGTCGGTGACGGAACTGAAACGCAGGTCCAAGACTGGTCCGTTTGCCGATCGGGTCTCGTCGATTCCCGCTGATGCGCTATTGCAGGAGCGAAGCCAGCCGAAATGCTGTGTGCCAACTGCCGATGCAGCGGGCTCCCAGAACCGTCGTGGACGCGTTTCCGTTCTTTTTTTTTTTCTATTTCTTGTGACTCACCGCAACCTAGAGTCCGTTGTGAGTGGAGGAGCGTCATCTGCGTGTGCTGTGCTTGCATGGCCTTTGCATGGCGCGTCACTCCAGACGCGAAGGTTTTCCTTCAAAGGGATGTTGTGACGAGGAGCGAAGCAGTTCTGTTCGCTGAAACGTTATCTTCTTTCGAGCCCTTCCTCTTAGCACCCAAGTTCCTTCTTGTCGTTGTACTGCTTTTTTGACACGGCGTTGAGCCTATTGCTGCGCTTTTATAGTAATTTTTTGTCGCTTTTTCTGGGAAAGTTCTGTGTTTTTTTTTCCCGCACGAATCGTTGGTCTGGCGATTGCTTTGGATGAGTTTTACAAAATGTCTGCTGCCATGGCTTCTCTGACATTCAAAACAAATAGTAGTCATTTTTCCAAGGATCTCGAGCACAGTTTTTGCGATGTTCCTGCAACAAAACAAAGTTATGTACACACACTGTCCACCTCTTCTGTCTCCCCTTCCGCGCGCCCATATGCTGTGTGTTTAGAATCTGACTGTAATAAATATGTAAATAAAATGGTAATATAATATATATACATAATATATATGTATGTATATATACGTACATATATATATATTTATAATGAATGTCTATAGAAGCAACTGTGAGGCAAGTACAATGAAAGAACGCAAGCGTCTTTTCGTTCTTTTTTTTTTCGTAACCTGCTTTGTGATGAGCATCTCTGTGTTTTGGGTGAGCTCCCCCGACCCCACAATCACGTTGTGCACGGGCGCATGCCGCCCGCCTTGGCTGCGTTTCGGGGTGACCACCCCCTTCTCTAAAGAGTAGTGCGTCTTTCAGAATCAACTTTCCTGTACATACTTCATGTGTCTATACGATGTTATTCTGTTTCATTTTTCCTAAAATAAAACGTTATTTCACGTACAGTGCCTCCTGCGTCTCGCTGCTTCGCTACTTTCCCACGAGCGACGCCAGGGCGGCGCCGTTGGCTTCTCGCGTTGCTCGCTCCAGTATTCCCTGGTTCCTCCCAAATTACACGCTTTCCCCGCGCCGTGCAGCTGCGTAAACTTGGCACAAACCAGAAGTATGTGTGCTAATAACGTGTTCTTTTCTTCACAACTATAGGCTCGTCTCTTTCGGTGCCCTGATGTGACGCCCTAAAATTACCTTTTGAAGTGCTCTAAGGACGGGATATAGGACGCCCGTATTTTCGTGTAGAGCACTGCGTAATGGCATCCACGTATCGGATACGTGGGAATCGTCGAATGATTCGTCGAACACAAACGCCCCTTTGAGCGCATACGAACAAATTTACGCGTGTCTCATCGCTCGCAGTTTGCTTCGGGCGTAATTTCTTGCCTGAAATACCCAGATTTGCGACGTCGGTGTAATGCGGAGGCGCTTTTGCGTTATTCTTCTGGAAGCAGGGGCGACGACAATTGGATTATTCCCTCCCACCTGCAACGGAGTAGTTCTGGTCTGGTTGATTGACTGTGTTCGGACGACACTGAGCCAGCTGTCGGCGACTATAGGTGTGTGAAATCCTTCAAAAGTGGTCGCAGCAGTATCTTTAACCTCGAAATGCGTGTGTACTGAGAGAAAGTATATATAAAAAAAGCGTTTCACATGCTTCTTGTTGCTTCGCTAAACGCTGTAGTTTGTCAAGTGGGCAACTGTAAATATAGCAAGTGACATTTTCGCCCAATGTGACGGCATCCGCAGTCCAAGAGGCCGTAAGTATCAGTTGCGAGACTTGTCTAGTCATCGGGGTCGGGGCAAACGATGCCGGTTCTATTCTGCACGGTCGTGCGATGCCGCGACTGGCCGTTTGTACTCTCTTAGAGTGGCTTAGAACGCGCGAACAAAAATTTTAGCTCCGTTTTCTTCGCTCGTCGATGTCTCGTCGTCGCGGTGTGTCATGTATAGTCGCGGTCAATCGTACAAACGTGTTTTACGCACCACAGTGGGTGGCTCCCAGTACTCTCCGCGCTTATGTTGTTGAGGAAGGCACAGGAACATACCGTGGGAACTCAAGCCGAGCCAAGAATGGTAAGTTTCATTGCGACGATCTTGTGGAGCGTAAACACCTTTACCCAGCTGCGTGCCCGCTTTCAAGCACTCGCGAGACAAATCGCAGAACACTGCGAGCTTCGCCATGGGGCGCTATGCAGGAGCGGCCGAGTTTTGCGAAACCAGGAAACTTCCGAGTCTGGCGACACCACCTTTTGCCAACAGTACGAAAAAAGTCCAATGAAACCCTTATGATGAAACCATGGAGTAATCGCGCCAACAACGGTCGAATGAGTTGACCGGCGTTTTCTAACCAGAGGTATCTTCTTTAGTTTGTCGTCCCGCTGTGTGCAGAAGTGCACCCTATCATCACTGGGGACTGGCAGTGCAAGAGACGGTCAAGCGTGCTCGGAGCTAACTTGGCTGTCCGAGAAGATCGGGCCATTCGGCGTTCCACCCCAGGTCTCGCGCCGCGCCACTCTTTTCGCAGTATACGCTTCTTTAAGGAGCCCATATAGTATTCTTAGAACTCTCAACAGTATCAGGTTTATATTTCGTTAGGGGGTGCAACGACGTCAACAAACACGTCCACTTCGCCTGTCATCGCTCTGTTCGGTTGGTTCCTCTAAAGGTCTTCCGTTTAAACGCCTTCAAAGTTCTCCACTCGAGCAGCATGCACATTTCTGCCGCAATATGCTTGTCTACAGCTCGCAGCATGTGCTCGGCGCACGATCTCCAGGAGCCGTATGAGCAGCTTGAGTCATCGCGCTCTCCATTTCGCGATACCTTCGTGGTGGCCCAATTCCTGCCCCGCACGCGTTTTCGACTGCGAACCTCCTTTTTTTTTTATGGGGGTTGAGGGGTTCGCCCCATTTCTGTGGCATACACCTGCACTTGGGGTTTTTGTTCACAGGGTCACAGGGTTCTGTTCACAGGTTGGTGAGGGTAACGACCCACATTGTTTTATCAGAGCTTCGCAGTAAGGGTGTCTGGGGTTTAGGGATGACATGTGGGGTTTAACGTCCCAAAATCACCATAAGATTACGGGGTTTAATGTCCCAAAACCGCGATATGAATGTGGTGTACGCTGCAGCTGAGGGCTTTGGAAATATCCACCACCAGATACTTTAACGTGCCCCTAAATGAAAGCAAACGGGCCTTTGGTGTTTCGCTCGTATCAAAATGGGATCACACCCGCGACATTTTAAGGCTATAGCAGCCGGGCGATGTACCACCGCGGCGGCTCTATATATAGCTTTGCTGTAGGAGGTTCCCGTCTCAATCGTGCAAGCTACTGAGCTTAGTGCAGACATCACAACTGCTGATATGCACGTTAAAAAACCCCAGGTGGTCGAAATTTCCGGAGCCCTCCACTACGGCGTCTCTCATAATCATATTGTGGCTTTGGCACGTTATACCCCACATATCAATCACAACTGCTGATACTTTCGTTTGCGATTGGGACTCGCTCGCTGGATTCCGTGCCGACTGGTTGTGCCCTGGCGATCTCCGACATCAGCGTAGCTCTGGCCGACTGGGCTGGCCCTACGCCATCTCCTGATGCCGGTCCCCTACGACGATGACAGCGCAGCTCTGGCCGATTGGATTAGCCCTGCGCCATCTCCTGTCGCCGACAAGACCTTTCGCCAGTGGTGCCCCGTCCTCGGACTCCTGTGACCGTGTTTCTTCTTTCCTATCTTTTCTTTACTTCCGTCGTCGCTCGCTGTCCCTGTGCATTTCTCTATATATACCTTTAATCCTATCCTTTTAATCCCTCCTCACCCCAATCCCTTGTGAGCTACTGTTGAGGTGTAGCACTAGATGCAGAAAGTTACGGGGCTCACTTTTCTCTTTTTTTTCCTTTTTATAACCACCACAATCTCGTTTGCAATTTGTATCGCGTGGTTGGTTGCTGTGTGTTGTGGTAGCACTTGCTAACCTTGATAAGCTGGAAAGCTTGTTAAGCTGTGTTGTGCTGGTGGGAAGAGCCTGGCAGAGGAGCCTTGCGGTTTGAGCGAACTCGGTAGCGCGCAGGCGCTGCTCTTGCTGATCCCGTCACTTGGCGCAGTTAGGAGGGGGGGGGGGGTTGATTTTAAATGAAAAGAAGAGAAAAGTGAGCCCCGTAACTGTCTCTCAGGGGGAGGACACCTCAACAGTAGCTCACGAGGGATGGGGGTAGAGAAGTAATGAGAAGGATAGGATTAAAAGGTAAAGAGATAGAGAGAGGAAGGAAAGAGCGAGGCGCAGGGACAGCGAACGAAGGAAGTGAGGAGAAGACAGGAAAGATGGACACGGTTGCAGGAGTCTGAGGATGGGGCACCACTGGCGAGAGCTCTTGTCGGCGTCAGGAGATTACGTAGGGCAAGTCCAGTAGGCCAGAACTACGCTGTCGTCGAAGATCGGCGTCAGGAGATGGCGTAGGGCTAGCCCAGTTGGCTAGAGCTGCGCTGACGTCGGGGATGGCGAGGGCACAACCGGTTGGCACGAAATCCAGCGAGCGAGTCCCGCGCCGTTTGAAGGCGCTGTCCAGCCGGCAGTCTCTACAGGCCATTCAACGGTAAGCGGAGTGGAAAACTGAGCAAGTTGGTAAAAGTTAATCACTTAGTTCGATCTCCGCGGCGAAATGATACACGAAGAAAGAAACATACAAGCGACTAACGAGCGCAGATTAACAACCGAGTTAAGTAAGGATGAATAGTCCTTTTTAGCAGTCTAAGCTGACATGACACCACCCCTAAGGGCCTACAAAGGAACCAATAAAAGCCATGAATATAGGAAGCAGCTAAAATGCTATCAGAAATGACACGTGACAGGCTATAAAAAAACATCTATATACGGTACCTCGATCGTTCTGCTAGGCAGTGCTGTTACAGAATCTGTCGCCTGTACAAGACTGTGTACACCGCCTGAACACCGCTATTCGCCACGCCTTTTCATCGCCGTCATAGAACGGAGGCAAGTTTATCAGCCATACCACAATTTATTTTAGTTCACTTTCATTTATGTACTACTTCCGTCTGGAATGAAATGGCTTCGTAACATTAGCTACTGGATTACACCGCAAACAATACGCGAGGTTTACGCAACAGTCTGTTTTGATGTGAAGTCCTTGCCACCTGAATCTCGCCGTCGCCCATCGCGAACGCCTTTCTAGGCTATATAAACGAGGCAATTCGTATCTCAAACGGCATGTACGAACTGCGTCGCTGTCGAAGAGCAAGAGCGATCGGGAAGCATTTGCTCTTCGCAAAGGCTGGCGTTGTACACACACACACACAAAATGCACACGCAAACTTGTACGAAATATTCACTCCCGCACTGTCCTTACAGAACACGACAAATTCGAATACAATGTCCCTCTATCGAAATCGTTGTATTTGCCGCAGGAGCCTGGAACTTATGAACCTACATGATCTTATTTTGCCAAAGAACCCACGTGGCCAAGGGCGCACGAAAGAGAGCACTCAATGCATGCGCGACCATATCGTATCTTAAACAGCTGAAGCCCAAAAAAGAGTAACTACAGACTAAGGGAACAACGTGGACAAGCGCTTTTCCTCGTTCTATTAGTGCGTTGTTACCCCCTCTCATTCCCCCCTCTTTTGCGCTTCAGCTGTTTAAGACATGGAATACCAACTAGCCCGCTCCCACATATTGCTTCATGTCGGATCAACTAGCACCTGCGCCCGGAAACGGCGCTAACAAGGCATGGCCTCCGAGATGGCGGGCGCAAGGCGTGTTTTTCTACACTCGGAGACAACTTTTCTTGGCAGTGAAGGGAAAGCTACGGGGGCGGAGCTTCTGCACATGTAGCACTACGCAAAGTAGTTTGATATACGGCGCTCGTCTCGTCTCGTAACGCTACGGAAAGTGACGGGGGAGCACCAAAAGCGTTTCATGTAGACACAGACTCC